AGTGATAGCAGATTTTAAATACCATTCGAAAGCAATATCTATATCCTTTTCAACAACATCTCCTTTTCGGTAATATTTACCAACTTCATACATTCCATTAGGATGTCCCATCTCTGCTGATTTTTTATAGTATTCGAATGCCTTATGTTCATCTTTTTCAACTCCAATTCCATATTTATAGCAATATCTGACATTACATGTTCCAAAAGTAAGTCTCATCTTTGCTGATTTTTTATAATACTTGAATGCTTTTTTATTATTCTTTTTAACTCCAATTCCATTGAAATAACAATATCCAACTTGATTTACTCCTTTAGAATCACCCATGTTTGCAATTTTTTGATAATATTCAAATACTTTTGTTGGTCCTTTACAACACTATATCCACTTTGATAACAATCTCCAGCTTTATATATTCCACGAACATGACCTATACTAGCAGCTTTTTGATAATATTCGAATGCTTTTTGTTTATCTTTTTTGACTCCAATTCCATCAAAATAACATTTTCCAATATTATATATTCCTGTAGTACCACTCATATTAGCAGCTTTTTGATAGTATTCAAATGCCATTTGTTCATCTTTTTCAACTCCGATTCCAAATTGATAACATTTATCTAAAGCACATAAATGACCCAAATCAGCTGCCTTTCTAAAATACGAAAAGGCTTTTTTTCTATCTATTCTAATATAAAACCCATTTATATATTTTTGTCCAAGTTGATAAAGTTTTTCAGCATTTTGATCATTGTTATTTTGATAAAGTTCTTCAGCATTTTGATCATTGTTATTTTTTTTAATAAAGAAAAGAATAAAGTTTTTATATTATTCATTTATAGTTGCTTAAATCAAGTTGATTAATTAATTATTAGAACAATTATCATTCTTTAACCGAGAGCAATTAACAATTTTCAAGTTGGTTAATTGAATAAAAACTTTATTGGATGTTTTTGTTGTACTAATTTAGTGTACTCAAACATTGCATTATCATTATGTTGTAATAGTTATTAATTTAAACAAATTAAAAATATGCAAGTTAATAGACGACCATCCATACACAATATATGTAAAAAGATTCACAAAACAAACTTAAAGTTTATATGTTTATTAAGAAAGTCCAACTTATGTTCAAAAGTTTTTTAGTTAATTGGCAAGAGCGTAAATTTTTATATCATATATATTGAATAAGGCAAAAAAAAAATTTTAATAAAGTGTTGAAATAATTGATGTTGCGAATGTAATATAATATTGATCGAACAATATGCTGTAATAATAGTAACTCAATTATTTTTTTATATATTGATCACGCACTAATCATACCAAAATTAATAACTTATCAAATTCGGCCGAATAGACTTCGGCAAATTTTTTTAGGGTGTTCCAGAATTTATGAAAACAGCTGTAATTAAATTTTTTATATTTATTTTTTTTTTTGCCAATGTAAAGGACTACGTAATTTAGCCAATCAGGGACAATATTTACCATGCCAATCAGAAGTGGCGGGGGGAAATTAGAGCTCCCCAATTACAGCTATTTTCATTCTGGAACATCTGATAAAAAATTGGCCGAACTATTTTTCAATTAAGTTTATGATTTCGGCAAATAGATTCAATAAAATTGATATATATCTGATATATGTAATTTAAGATATAAATCTTATACCTCCGATTTAATACAGAAATATGATACTTTGAAGCATCATCGCTGGAAAATAATTTAAAAAAAATTTAGAAGGCCAAACACTTAGGTGTTAGCATATCTTTTATAAGTCAAATTCTCAAAGATATAGATGTATTGAAAAGCTTACATCACTTTTAGAAAAACCATGTTCACTGAACAATACATGATATTTTAAAACTTAATAAATGAATCTGAGATAAAACCCTGATTAGACGTAAAATTAGCCTTATGACAATTTGAAGGGCTACAAAACAACTTTATATACAAATAAAATAAATATTTTATTGACATATTAAACATGTTGGATACGAAAAATTTTTTATAGTTGACACAATGACCTGTAAATTGTAATTTAAAAAAACTATAACCAAATTGGATCCAGATCGGATCCAAATCTGCTTGATACAGATCCAGATCCTCACCTGGATCCGATTTGATTTTTCGAATCGAATCTGGATCTTTAAAAATATCTGTTAGATCCGGTCCGTGCGGAACACTATGTTGAATTCTGCAATTAGAGTTAAATTAGCATTAATTAAACTTAAAGATTTAGATCAAAATTTCCAGATTTACCATCTAAAGATGAATGGGAACAAGCAAGTTTAGTTCGAGATGAACTTAAAATTTTCTATGAATGTAAGTATAATTTAATTTTATTTTAATTATATAGTTTTTTTTATTTTAATAATTAATTTATTTTATTAAAAGTACTGAACAAATATCCGAAAGTTCATATATTACTCTTAACAATGCAATTGTAATTATTTTTAAAATCAAATTACATTTGCAACAAATGAAATCTAAATCTGGCACATTCATTTGTAAATTTGCTAATTCAATGACTGAAAAATTTAACAAGTACTAGAAAGAAACAAACATGCTATATATAACTGCATATATACTTGACTCATGCTATAAATTGGAGTGGTTCAGATATTATTATAAACAAAAAGAAAAATTATCTCAAGAAGCTACTGAAAAAATCATAATGGATTTTCAATCAAAGTAAGTTTTTATTTAATATAATACTATATAAATTATAATTTATACTATAATAAATATTAATTATTTTTATTTTTTTTATAGATTCGAAGAAATTTATATTAGATTTTATTATTACTATTTATATATTAATACTTCTATTGAAAGTAATGAAGGCAACTTAACCAATTCCAATTATCAATTTGATGAAGACTATTATCAATATGCATCTAAATGATTACATCAAAATGCAAATAATCTTTATGAAGTTCATCAATATTTGTATGAACTAACAATTTCAAAAAATGTAAGGCCACTTGATTGGTAGAAATCAAATTATTATCGATTTCCAAACTTATCTAAGATGGCTAAAGATTTTTTAGCTATTCCAGCAACAAGTGTGCTATCAGAGCAAATTTTTAGCTTAGCTAGTAGAACTATTGATAATAATTATATTAATTTAGATCCAGATACTGTTGAAGCATTAATTTGTCAAGAAAATTGGTTAACAAAGAAATTAATTGTCTAAGTAGCATGTAATTTGTTATGTTAAAGTAGCTTTTAGACTACTATATATATAATGCAAATAAAATATTAATTGTTTAAAAATAATTTGCAATTATAATTACTAGCAATAATAATTTTAGTTGCAAAGATTTTTTTGTAAAAGCTAAATTATAATTATTTTAATGGTTCAATCTCATCTATGCTACAATTTCGGAATGGATAAATTCAAAATATTTTTTTCAACAAAAGATTTGAAACTTAGGATAATAATGTAACTTAAACAAGCTATTATGCTTTATTTACTGTAAACAAATATGCAGATCTATAGGCTGAATTTGGATAGTACTATGTGGTTATGAGCCGGGTTTGGATTTATCCAATTAAATATAAGATGGATTTGGATATAGATATTTGGTATATTTTTTTAATGGGCTAGATCTGGATATCAAAATACCTGGCCCAGCTCGGCCCATGCGGAACTCTAGCATTTACAGAAGACATTTTATTAAGAGTTCTATATACTTGAAAATAAATGTTAGCATGTATTTAAAAAGTGCACACATAGTCTGTGCATTTATAAGAGTGCACTTAGAGAGAGTTAACTGTATTAACTAAAATAATTCTGTAAATTTAAAATTTATCAAAATTTGCTAATAATAAAAATTTATTAAAAATATTACTAATTGCAAGTTTTATTTTCAAAAATTATATATTACACCTATGGTGTTTAATACTACAACAATAAACTGCAATGTAATATATAAATTAAAATAATTTTTATCAAAACAAAAATTAAATTTTGATTAAGATTAGAGTTAGAGTTAAAGGCTAGAATGAGGTAGGAGCTTAGTTTATATCAAAATTTTGCAAAAAATTTTTTTTATTAGAGCTTAAAAAGTGGTTTCATAAATAAAATTATGAATTATATTATTTTTTTAAAAAAAAACCAAAAACCTATATTATATCTGACCTTTATATTATATTGCAACTTATAATAAATATTATTGTAGTATTAAACACTAGTGGTGTGATTTAGCAATATTGTTTATTTTAATATCATTTAATTTTTTTTTTTTTTTAACTTCAGCAGTTATATCTTTATTTTATTAGATATAAATAAACAAACTATACAGTTTATCAACTTTATCAAACCAATTAGCCTGGTTATCTAAGTTACAAGTATCAGCTAACCTGATTATATCAAGTGTATCTATGTTTGACCTGCTATAGTAGAGTTTATCTCTTTACTTATTACCTCTGCAAACAAAGTAAATAAGCATATCAACAAATAGTTTCTATAGCCTGTTATGATAGCAATTCCTTTAAATCTCACCTTTTCCAATTATTAAGCAAGAAGATTCTATAATCTTTATCTAAAAAATAACAAGTAACTAAAAAAAAACTAAACTAAAAAAAGATAATAAAAAAAAGGGAAAGCTACAAAATCTAAACAAAAACTAAAAACAAAAAATACAAAAAAAAAAAAAGACAAAAAGAAAAGAAGGGCAAAAAAAAAAAACAAAAACATAACAACACTATTTGTGCCAGTGCAGGGCTTAAAAAATTATTTAATACTTTATAAAACAATCTCCACCTTTGCTTTACTTCGGTATTAAAATAGTTCAATTATATGAAGAGTACAAAATTTTCTTGTTTATTCTATGAATCCATTACATGTCATTTACTATTGGTCAGACATGTAGTAGTATGACTTTTTTGTAACTTGCTATTTCTGATTTGGCTAAATAAACAATGTCGATTTTTTATAGAAAGTATACCGAATTTCCCACATTTTGTGAAAAATTTTAAAAGAAACACCAAAAAACCCAGTAGGAATATGAAAAGTGGTTTTCAAGATCAGGTACTTCAAATTTTCAAAGGAGTGGTTTAAAAAACTATTTGTTGTTCCTCTTCTGTTATGCATCACAAATTTTTTCAAGTAGATTTATAATGATATATAATGCTTAATCGTTTTATATCGATTAAATTTAAACACTAAACATCGATTAATTTGTTATTTAGCAATATATATCATAAATCACTTATTATCGATAATAGGTAAGAAATCGATATAGATCAAATTATCGATTATCATCGAACTAACCAAAATCATAATATATCGATCACTACGTTATTAATCGATAATTAACACTTTAATTGGAAATATGTGTAACTTTAATTAGAAATATATGTAACTTTAATTGATATACAATAACTTTAATTAATATACGTACTGTAACTTTAATTGATATACGTACTATAACTTTAATTGATATACACTTTAAATATATACTTTAAGTATTAGATATATGCTTTAAATATTAGAACATAAAGCTATTCACTAAATATTCATTTATTTTTTTAAACCTTGCAACTATATATATAGTTCTATCTATACTATCTATAGGTATACAACTGTATTGTTTAATTAATTTTAATTTAGAACATCCCTATAATTTACCATCTTCATCATACTAGCGAACAAGAGTGAGTTCTAATGGATCTTTGTCAATCGCTTAGTAAAACTTGAGTATCAACAAAATCTTATAAATGATATTAAATATATATATTAGTATATATTACTTACTAAGTTAGAAAAAATTTGCTAACTTCATTACTTATAGTCGTTATTTATTGTTAAAATGCATTAGAAGATGTATAATTCAAATTAAATAAAATCGATACTTACCAAGCCATACCAATTTATTTCATTTTCATGATCATCAAGTGCACTTACTATAATATTAGAAAACATTAGTTTTCCATGAAAATTTGAAGTAGCACGAATTATATCAGTACTTTTTAAAGATGTAAAAGAAAATATTTCTAAACGATTATCTCCGTCAAGAGACACAGTTGATTTCATTTCAAAAAAATCATCAAGCCTAGTTAGTAAGTTTTGAAAGCCTTTGGCTTGTAATGGGTCCAAATTATTTATATTTTTCTGAAGGAAATCATCCAGGTCTTTTGACCTTAACCTTAAGACCCATAAAAATTTTCCAAACCCTTTAGTTCAGCAATATTTTTTATGGACTTCTTTTTCAGTAAGTTTTTTCTGTTTAATCTAATAATAATCGAGATTATCTACTAAGCAGTATTGGCATTGGACATATGTCCAATGCCAACATTGAATTACTATTTAAATGTACTGCATTCAATATTTGTTTTATATAGTCTTTCTTGTTTAACATTCGATAAGGTATCTTTACATAGTCCTTATGAAGTATTTCATAGGTTTCAGTAGTCATACTATTTATTGACCCATATTTTTTAATTAAAGGTACTACATGATGGCACCAAGAATGAAGCTTTGGTAATTGTAGCCCACTTCGTGAATATGGAGAAAATATTTTAACGAATTCTTG